GGGGGGGGGGGGGGGAGGGGGGACGCGAGGACTCGTGCGATCCCGGTCATCAGGCGGTTTATTCAAAAACGGCAAAAAGATCTCTAGCGCGGATTTGAACCAATTTCTAGAATGTTACTCTACTATATTGGACACTCCCTTTTGCAAAATTTTAAGTCCTAAAACGAATTATTTCCGCGCAGCAGCGTTGCCAAGTGTAAAACTGTAAAATTCCATATCGATCGAGCGAATCAAGATTTTGAAGTGCGGTGTGTGCGAATCGCTGAACTTCTTCTATTGAAAAGTACTTTTTTGTAGAATACCTACGTCATTAAAGTGGAGGGTTGATTAATTTTAACTTGTAATGATGCTATTTTTCATGTATTTCTGTGATAGATTTTTTTAAAATTATAATACATCGTCAAAATGCCTTTTCTTGCAATCCAACAAAAAACTATCGAGTGCTTGTCTGTTTCCTACCTACCTCCTGAAGAAACAACGGGAAAGGGCGTTACAAGCAATTCAACGATGACGCTCCGACCGACAATACCGACAATGATCCGGGCGCCGATCTCCGTTCCAAGTTGTCTGCATACTTCCGTCCGTCCACTGATAAGGTGCCAGCGGCGGCGTGGCACGTCAACCCCATTCTTCTCCGATCCATTTTTTTCCTCCCAAGCTCCCCCTCCCTTGAAACGAAAATTTCGCGACAGCGCCATGTTTTGGAGGCGTGCAGTGAGTTTGGAGTCCCTCTTGGGGGATTCTAAATTTGCCTGCTCAATTCAATAAATGGCAAGTATCTTGACAAGTTGAAAGGCTGGTTTGCGATAGCCAGGAGTTCGTGAAGTCCTGGGTTTCTCTCATCAGGCCCTGATGCGTAAACTGCAGTTTCAGCGTATGAACGACGACTGGTCCGGATGCGATCAGCGCACTACACGTGAGATAGGGTGTTTTTCGCGTTAGAGAACAGCCTAAGAGCATGACGCCACGATGCAGTAGACCGCTGCGCGGTTGCCACGCCCTGCGGGAGCCAACGGGATGGCCCAAGACTCGTAATAGTTTCGGCAGCTCTCTAGAAGGCGCGTGGCAACGGTGCAGGGGACCCTGCCTGCTGGACATCGCGTAGTCATGTTTAGAGCACGGGAATTGCTGATTTCACTGGATTTTCCGCTCAAATCGTACGAAATTGAGGGTGAGACGCTCCTAAAGGAAGATCTATGAAATCAGTCTTCTCTTAACGCGGTGACCTCACTGCTCGCGGTAAGCAACACGCGGTATAGCCCCGTTGCCCCCCAGTGGGCCCCGAGAGTTTTCGACTCAAACCCCCCCCCCCTTTTTTCTTTATTTTAAAATTGTATTTGTTCTTTTATTTCCAGTTTTTATAGTGAGCGTTATGCATAGTTATTTGTTGTTGTAATTTTCCGTAAACGTGGTTGATTTGTCCGAAATAGTTAGACCGATCCGAGGTGTCTCCGGTGGATTTACGTTATGGTGTATGATGAGTGTTGTTTGCGTGGTTCCTGTGTGTATTTTCGTCATTTAACATCAACTGGTGTAACTAAAGGGAGTGGCACCCTAAAACCCGTGCACGTTTTGATTTGGACTTCTCCCCATCTCTCATGAAATCAGTGCTGATCAGAAACGAAAAGATTAACTAAGTCCATGGGACAGGTTTGATAGAACATCCTATTGCGTCAGAATACACTTTATATTAGTGTGTGTTGTTACAGCTCTACCAATTATTTATTAGGAGGACTTGAGGCCTCATTTCCTACCTTAAGTGGTGGAAAATTCGCCCCCCCCCCTTCCCAATGTTTCTCCTAACAGCAGAGGAACATAAGTTTTTGGCCAATCTTTAGGGTATCCCGTCTAGTCCCTTGAGTTTTAGCCGTTTCACCCCCCTCCCCTAAAAAGTGTGGTAAACCCCGAAACTCTTCCCCGTCAAAGTAATGGCCTAGAGATATTAAGAAAAACTTGGTAAGAACCTTTTAACTCTAAATCAAGCCAACCTGACGAATGATAATTTAGGCTCTGCTGTACTATCGACGAATTTGGCTTCGCGCATGGGACGCTCCAAATCAAATGTAAACTGTGCGACACTCACAGAAGAGCGAGTGCGTCTTCATGAGAGTGTTATCAGGCAACGTGCCGCCCCGCGCCGTCGCTAAGTGGTCACCAGAGACTCTGCACGAAACTTTTTTTTTTTTGTACAAACAAATTTAGCACTTTTAAATTACAAATATAGAACATAGATATCTTATAAGATAGTTTACTATGATAAATGAGTGAGGATGAAGATGAGAATATGAAAACTTGGATTAAACTTAAGAATAGGGTTAACTATCTATAAAGACAATAGCCTAATTACTTAAAAATAGGCAAATTTTTATAAAGACATTAGAACAACTGCACATACAAACACAGTGGGTTTTAACTAAATCTAATTAAGAAAATGAAAGTTCCCATATCTGAAAGCGGAAAAGTACAACGAAACACCTCAGGAAAACATCCCCGCTGAAAAGAAAATCATTCGCTGGGCCGTTTTTTTTTTTTGCCCCCCCCCCCCAAGCCAAAATGGCGGCCGATATGCGCCGCCGCAGGGTGCAAATGTTACAACTCCCTCACAATGTTAAGTGACACATCGATTCCTATGTAATTTTGGTTGTAGAATCCGAATATGAGGTCAGAAATCCCTCACGACTAAAAGGGATCCTGCAAATTCAAGAAGGCGGCCAAAAATAGGCCCCGGAGTAAAAATTCTCAATTCCAGCTTTTGGTGACGAGTGAGATGTCTTTTTTTACGTTTTTTGGGTCATAGGATCCAAATTTGAGGTCACAAATTCCCTTCTGGCCGACAGGGATCCCTCAAATCCAAAATTGCTTCCATTTTGGGGCTGACATGTTATTTCCGAAAGACGCGTCTAGTCGAGTGAGGTGTCTTTTTACCTGTTTTTTGGACCACATGATCAGCAACTGGGATCCAAGCTGTGTCCCTGTGGGCCGGAAGGTAAGATTTGTCCCTTAGCACCTTGATTGTAACGTTTTTATCAACTATTTAAATAAAAACTCAGAATTTCATTGTTAGAACGGCGCCAACCACACCAAGAATGCTCTATTCTTACAAATAATGTTTGACCTTTTTGCCTAGCAGGGGCTATAGTTTCCTGCTTCACAAAAAAACTAGCGCAAGAGAAATAGGAACAAAACAAAAATAATCTCCTTTTCAAGAAAATATAAATGAATTCAAGAAAAATGACAACCAGAGTACAAATTAATTGTATACACCGCTAGTAAATGAAACTAATTTCTTCTGCTGTTAAATTCACATACAGCCCTAAGGAAATTTCTTTTGTAATCTGGATGAGACTTTGGTACTTTGTACTTATTCCATATTTTTAAGAAAGCAGCATGAGTGACTCGAGGACAAGAACAAAAACCGGCCCAACAAATGATTTTTGGAACCCATTTTGGCCGCCATCTTGGATTTGAGGGATCCCTGTCGGCCAGAAGGGAATTTTTGACCTCAAATTTGGATCCTATGACCCAAAAAACATAAAAAAAGACACCTCACTCGTCACCAAAAGCTGGAATTGAGAATTTTTACTCCGGGGCCTATTTTTGGCCGCCATCTTGAATTTGCATGATCCCTTTTAGTCGTGAGGGATTTCTGACCTCATATTCGGATTCTACGACCAAAATTACATAGGAATCGATGTGTCACTTGCCATTGTGAGGGAGTTGTAACATTTGCACCCCGCGGCGGCGCATATCGGCCGCCATTTTGGCTTGGGGGGGGGGGGCAAAAAAAAAAAACGGCCCAGCGAATGATTTTCTTTTCAGCGGGGATGTTTTCCTGAGGTGTTTCGCTGTACTTTTCCGCTTTCAGATATGGGGACTTTCATTTTCTTAATTAGATTTAGTTAAAACCCACTGTGCGAAAGATAAG